CGCTCCCTGTCCTGCCCGATTCGTCCTGCGGCTCAGCAGTACTTTCACGTGCTACTACTTTGTTCGGGAGGCTCACTGAGGCATGCACGGACCTGCTGCTCGCGACGCTCGTCCGCAGCGCGTTTCGTCGTTTTGCCTCTCAGACGTGACCTTATATCACATTTGGACCCAGGAGCGGCCTGCTGTGAGGGCCCGGTGACGCGACGCAGAGGTTGAGGCTGCGCGGGCACCCTGGACGCCAATTGGCTGCCTGGGGCCAAGAGCTCAGTGCTGAGACCTCCGTGTGGCTGCCATGGAGCATCCAGGACAGCCCTCGCTTTTGCTGGGCGCGGCCGCGAGGCCTCGTTGAAGCACCACGTAGTTTCTGTGTGAGCTCCTCTGCCGCCCGCCTGGCGCGCACGTGCACTCGGCATCCGACTGCCAACTGGTGCCGCCGACACTCGCGGCAGAGCCGGTGCGGGTGAGCTCTGTGGGGCTCGTGTCCCAGCCGGAGACGATGATCCACGGCAGCTGGATGGCATGAACAAAGCTTCGGGCCGACGTCCCGGAATCACGCCTCCACCTTCTCGACCTCCTTCTCCTCCTCCCCCTCCCCCAGCCATGGTAATTAGTGATGGGGCAGGGCGTGGTCGATCCGAATGGGCATTGGCAGACTTCGGACGCGCAGTCTGAAGGTCTGTCGCTGACCTTGTTCGGTTTTCCTTTTCTCTGCTTCATCACCCTCCCTTACCCTTACGTACATCCTTTCTCTTAAGGGTACTGGGTTCTGTCGTGCTGGGGCCCCGAGCTGGCGTGCCTTCGCAAGGGCAGCACCTCTTCGAGCACGCCTCTGCGATGGATCCCAGGCGGCGAACTGGGGAAAGAGGGTGGCGAGGACGGGGGGGGGAGGAAGCGGAAGCAGAGGAGAAGGTGGACGGCATGGAGGAGGGGGGGGGAGAAGGACGACAGAGAATGGGTCGCGGTAACAGGAGCAATTGAGGAGAAACACGACGAGGAGAGGGACAGTAGAAGCTGGAAAGGTAGGTGAATGTGGAAGAAGGTGATGAGGGGGGAGAACATGTAGAAGGAGGAGGAGATGCACGGGATAAGGAGGAGATGTGGGCGGCGGGAGGGGCAGAAAGAGGAAGTTGGTGAGGGCAGGAAGTGAAGCAGGATGAGCTCGATCGAGTGAGGCAGAGGAGGGAGGACGACGCGCCGATGACGCGGAGAAGTATGAGGGAGGAGCAGGGGGAGCAGGAGGGAGGAGGGGATGGGAAAAAGATAGGGAATAGTCGAGGAACCAATTGAGCGAGCTCGGGCTTGCGAGCTCGTGCCATCCTGACCGCCTGCGCGCGGGGAAATGGGAAACTCCCAGCCTCGTGCTCTGACGCCGCTGCATCGGAATGCGGAAGACAGCAGATCAATTCCAACACTTGCGTTTTCGTTTGGGGCATCGGGACCAAGGTTCTCCAACACGAAGGCCTGCGAAGGAGGGGTGAAGAGGGGGGAGGGTGGATTGTGAGGAAGGAAGCAGGGAGGGAGAGCTGGGGCAAGTGTATTATCAAGCTACCGATCCACCGCAGAGCGGCCGTGAAGGAACGGGGTCGGAGAAGGATAAGGAAGATGATGAGGACGAGGAAAAGGAAGAGAAATATGTTGAACGGGAAGGCTGTGAGAACTGGGGGGAAGATCAAGGAACATCATGTGGAAGAAGAAGAGGAAGCGGATGAGGAGGTTGAGGAGAGTGAGAGAGAGAGAGAGTATAGCGTGTCTAAATTTATGTTTTCCGTCGAAATAACGAGTACGGTAGGGAACTGTTGGATAGCGTGTCGTTCCGCCGGTTCTGCCCCACCACGCTTCGGCACGACGCGCTATCTATTGCCCGGTCCCCCAGCGTCGACGTCCCGAGAGTTTACCGACCCTCAATCCGCGAAGCGGAGCGACACGCTATCCACTCGCAAGGCATAGCGTGTCGCCTGGGACGCCATGGCGAAAAGCTGCCCAAAGTTCCCGACCGTAGTGTTGTGAGGCGGAGAAGGGACAGGGAGATGAGGAGGCAAAGGGCGATGATGACGCAGAGGCGGAGGATGAGTAGGTGTTGAAGACAGACTGTGAGGATGAAAGAGGAGGAATTGGATGAGGAGGATTTTGATAGGGTAGGGCGAAGGGGGTGGATGAGTGCGATGGAGGTGGAGTTGGAGGGCTCCGGCGACAAATTGGGATGCGCTAGTGATCGTCGTCCCCACCCCGCACTCATCTCCGACGATCGATCATTCCTCCCCTCTCACGCCTCCCACCTTCCCCTCAGACGTCCAAAGGCTCAGTAGAGCTGGACACAACCTCAAACATCAAAACCATCCCCCCCTCGACACAGATACATCGCGACACATCCACCGAGCGACGCGCGAGAAGCAGCAACGGACGTGCGCGGGCAGCCCGCGATGCCCCCCCACTGTTCTGCAGAGGCCCGAGAAGGCCATGGGGAGCAGGTCCTGGCCTCCTTCGGCCAGGGATTCTCCTCCTCCCTGCGGGCCTGTCCCTCTACAGGGGGAATCTTCAGACATACTCCAAAAATAGTCTGGGGGACTATTTTACCTAACAGCGAAGACTGATAGGTTTCTAGTGGTGTCAAAAGAGAGCATCTGATGACTCAGAAGGGAGGTCTGGGCGGCATCCGGACAGCGAGGGCCGGGCTCAGGGCCGGGCTCGTTTTAAGCAAACACTCGCACACTTCGTGCTCTTCGACCTCCCAGAACTCCATTCCCGGGCCACATTTTGAATGCCCGGAGCCAACTGTAGGCCACTTCGTGCTCTTCGACTTCCCAGAACTCCATTCCGGGGCCACATTTTGGATGCCCGGAGCCAACTGTAGGCCGCTTCGTGCTCTTGGACTTCCCAGAACACCATTCCCAGGCCACATTTTGAATGCCCGGAGCCAACTGTAGGCCACTTCGTGTTCTTCGTGTTCCCAGAACACAATTCCCGGGCCACATTTTGAATGCCTAGAGCCAACTGTAGGCCACTTCGTGTTCTTCGTGTTCCCAGAACACAACTCCCGGGCCACATTTTGAATGCCCAGAGCCAACTGTAGGCCGCTTCGTGTTCATCGTGTTCCCAGAACACCATTCCTGCACCATATGTTGATTCCCCGGAGCGAACTGTGGGCCACTTCGTGATCTTCGTGTTCCCAGAACACCAGTCCTGTGCCATATTTTGAATGCCCGAGCTGAAGCAGGCTGCGGCCGAGGCAGGCTGAGGCCGAGGCAGGCTGAGGCCGAGGCTGAGGCACGCCGAGGCAGGCTGAGGCTGAGGCTGAGGCAGGCTGAGGCTGAGGCAGGCTGAGGCTGAGGCTGAGGCAGGCTGAGGCTCAGGCAGGGTGAGGATGAGGCTGACGCAGGCTGAGGCCGAGGCAGGCTGAGGCTGAGGCTGAGGCAGACTTCTCGGCAGATCGGTGGCGTCGTCCACGATTGGTTGATGTGGCAAATCAGAACTCCATGAACTGTGTCAGATCGTATCCTCGTAACCATGTGTTGGTGATAGTAATATCCTGGGGATTGCAAAGTTCGGGGTCAACAGGAGAACATGTTCTCCTAGAGATCTCGACGTTAGGATGTCTGGATCGCGTGTCGCCTGAGACCCTCACAATCAGTCTTACGATCGGAACCTTTGGACGGGAGAATATAGTTCGGCCTCCCCGCTTGCTGTTTCTATTGGACCGCGTCAACCCCGTGGACAAAGAGATACAGGGGGAAATGAGGGGGGCATGCTTTGTTATCCAGGGGTTGTGGTTATCGTGTCGTATCCTCCTCGCTCCTCCTCCCTTCGGCGGCGGCGAGCGAGGGGGGAAGTGAGAAGGAGAAGGCCTTCGCAGAAGGCTCGGAAGCCCCCTGGCCTTCTGAGAAGTTTTATAGACCTTTCCCGAAGACACACATAACCTCTCAGAAGGCGCGAGGGCTTCTTAGAAGTCCCGCCGCCTTCGAGAAGGCCTGCTCCTTCTCACTTCCCCCCTTGCTCGCCGCCAGTCCCTCCTCGCCCGGATCCCCAGAGAAGGGGGGAGAGCGGGTGCCGATGCTGTACTGCAAGAGCGCGCTCGACGGCATGAGGCGCCCCTGACGCCCTCTCTGGGGAGGTCGGGCGCCGCGGACGCCCGCGCTGCTGCTGCTGCTGCCGCCAGAGGGGAGTCGGGAAGGGGAAGAGGGATGGACCAGACGGAGAAAGTGCGAGGAGCAGGAGGAGGAGGAGGAAGAAGGAGGAGGAGGAGGAGGAAGGAGGAGGAGGAGGAGGAGGAGGGGGAGGAGGCGGAGGAGGCGCAGGAGGAGGAGGAGGAGGAGGAGGAGGAAGAGGAGGAGCTTCAACGCCCGCGTGGGCCTCAACGCCAAGGAGATCGCGGACCTCAAGGCCGCCCTCCATGTCGTCCAGACATACGAACCCTCGACTGCTACCCTTAATTCGGGTGTGTCCCTCTACAGGAGGAGTATTCAAAAATATTGAAAAATTGTCAGGGTACGATTGTCCTATTGCGTGTTGAGCACTGTTGAGGGCTATTGGTATGTTTTGTTTTGCGTCCAGAATCCGCCTGTAGGGGGACATGCCTGACCCATCATGCTACCCCTTTCTCTCAGCTCAACTTCGAGCGCCGCACGGCCCCTGCGTCATCATCGTCCGCGCCAACGCCTTCGTCACAAAGCAATCGGTCAAGGAGGCCGTCCGCCCGTGGCTCATCGAAGGGATTGTCCGTCAACGACGAGCCCGCCGCCAAGCGCTGCACCGTCCGCATCCGAGGATGTGCCAGGTAGGCCGCGCGCATGATCAACCAAACCCTCAGCAACATGCGCCTCCAAGATCAGTCCCGCCGCCTTCAAGCATCGCTGGCCGTTGTGCGTCAGGTGACGCGAACACGTCCCAGGTTTGCCGCGGGCTCGCGACCGAGCAGGCTCGCAAGGCTCTCTCCTCGTTCGTCCCGAGTCTCGAGCTGTTCCCCGACGAATCCTCGGGCATCATCGGCTGCGACCCGAAGCTCCTGCTCCGTGCCTCAGCCAGCAGAAAGAGCCGCCCGTCATCGAGCAGCAGGAGGCCATCCCCCCTCCTCATTGTCGGGATCCGCCGCTCTGCCGTGGATCGGCACGAACGACATGGGTACGGAAAGAATGGGCACCATGCCCAGCAGCAGTCCCTGCTCATTTTGAACAGGACACGCTGTCCGCGCCGCCGCGGCCTGTGGCCATTTGAGGCAGAAGCGCTTCTGCCCGACAGCGGCCGCTGCTGGTTTGGGACAAAATTCGCTGTTGGGCATCGTGCCCATTTTTTTTGTTCCGTACCCATTTCGGGCGTCCAAAGTGGAGGACCGTTGCTCGGAGACTGGCCCCGCATAGTAAGGGTTGGCAACCTTCCAATGGGTACCCTTGCATCGTTGCCTCCTCGGTCCATCCTTGGCCAGTTTTGTTTGCCGCGTTGCGCTCGAAAAGCTTCGAAATGACACTCCGAGGCCCTTGCATCCCTATCCCGCATCCTTACTATGCGGGATGACTGGATCGGCCGCTCCGCCGTGGAGGACCGTGTCTCGGAGACTGGCCCAGCTCCTCGACCTCGTCTTCTCGTGGCTTTCCATGCCTTGCTGCCTGTTGAGTCGGGCGTGTCCCTCTACGGGAGGCATCTTCAAAGATAGTCAAACAATAGTCTAGAACGATGTTTGGAGGACCGTGTCTCGGGGAGCGGCCCCGCCCCTGCTTCCTGTTGCTCCGCGGCGTCGGCATAGCCTTCGGTCTCGTCCGGCAGGTGGCGCCGCGCTGCCGGAGCTCGGCCTCCCCCTGTGGATTGGGCGCCGCGTAATGGGGGGGTCATAAATGGGGGGGTGGCGAGGGTGGTTCGAAAAGGTACCCAAACGGTACCTGAACGAGCCCCCTGGGGCCCTGGAGGGGCCCGAAAGGGGCACGAAAGGGGACCTTTTCTGACCCCCCATGGGGAATCCTGTTCTTTGTGTCTATTCGTTTGTGTGTCCCAGGGCTCCTTCACTCCTCCGTGACGGCCCCTCCGTGCGGACAACGGAGCAGGGCTATTTTCTGGGGGTGTTCCGTGGTTTTTTGACCGCTGCTCCGCAGAAGGCCCACAGTAACGACTCTCATGCTTCGAGCTTCCTGCGCATGTCCTCGTCGGGCTACACCTCCCGCTCCTCCTCCTCCTCCTTCCCTGCCCTGAACGAGGGTGGGGTTGTCATGTTCTTCCCTGAGCTTCCCCGACTTCCTGGATTTGGGCCCTCGGCTCAGGCTGAAGAGTTGGTTTGCTCGAGCGCTTCATTACAAGCTCTGTCTAGGCGCGCGTGCCGTGGCCGGTGCACCGCACTGTATGCCCCATTTCAACCTACACGACCACGACGTCAGCACAGAGGGCACGCTCCTGGGCACAGAGAAGACAGAGCAGGAGCTGCTCGAGGCCGCCTCGGGCCCAGAGCACCTCCCCGTCGTCGCCGCCGGCGACTTTCATATATGTATATATATATACATATATATATATATACATATATATGTGCTCCTCGCGAGCCTCCGCGCCCCGAGGGGCTCGCCGCGAGGCAGGCCCTGGAGAGCCGGCCCCGCCGTGCCCGGGCGGAGGCGGCGGCCGCGCTCCCCGTGGCTCCGGGCCTCTATGCCCGGCTCGTGGAGCGTTCGATCCCCGAGCTCGAGCGCCCTGCAGCGGCTGCCGCCGACGTTCGTCCGCCATCGGCCGCGCGCTGGCTCCCGTCCGCTCTCCGCCCGGTCTCCGAAGTGCTTACCAGCCTGGAACATACCCCTATCCCTGTGCTGGGCACCTCCTCATCACGATGCCAATCTTAGGGATTCCTTTATTTTTTGAGGGCGAATCCCTAAGATTGCCGTCGCCTTTTGGCGTGTCAATCTTAGGGATAGAGATACGTTCGAGGCTGGTAAAGTGCGGGACCTCCCTAAGATTCGGAGTGACGTTGGATCAGTGTTCACGCCCCTGTCACCGCCCTCCTGAGTGCTCGACCCCCTCGCGGCCCAGACTCCCGGGCCATCCCGAGGCGCGTGGTCGAGCGCCCTGACTTTCAGAAGTATGTAGAACGCTAGATGGCCGTCACTGGACCTCTCGGAGCTCTCTCCCCCTCTGAATCTGGGCATGTAGTCCAAGATGGTGCTTCACGAACGCGCAAGATGGCGCCCTGCTCCCGAAGAGCCCCCGCAATGTGGCCTCCAAGCTGATCCTTATGATATCGATATCCTGGGCAGTATGGCTACGAGATCGCAGGTTAGCTCCCCGCCTTCTTCGTTACCCAGTTGCTGCGAATCTTCCCGAGGCTCGAGAGACATACAGGGCTGTTCCCGAGGATCGTGCTTCATCTTCTTTGACGCTGGACGAGCTATCCGCGCGGAGACTGGAGCAGCATATCGCACATACAGAACGTTGTGGTGAAGGTGTCGTACCCGATCAAGAGGAACACGCACCCAAATGGTGACAATAATGGTACAACAAGAATCTGGTGTTGCCACTGCTGGGCGGAGCCTGGCTGGCAGAATCATGCTGTGTTATGTGGTGCTACCGGGCGCCTCCTTGCAGCCAGAATCATGCTGTGCAACCGCCCTCGGCCAGCGGCTCAACGCCGAGGGCGCGCATCTGGAGCAGCAGATCGCCTTCCATCTCCTGGACAAGCCAGGGCGAAGCTGCGCAAACAGCTGCGGCGACTGTCCAGGAGAGCCCCACGCCGTGGGCACCCTTCGACCGCAGGACCCGGCTCGTCGGGGCTCGAACTCAACATGGCACCGCCTTCCTCGTCCCAGTCTTCGGTCGGGCCTGTCCCCCTGCAGGGAAATTTTGGGCGAAAAATTCAAATACTCAGAAAATACCCCCCAAATGCTCAGACATAGTCAAAACATCGTCCCCAGACTATGTTTTAAAACTATGTTTGAACATTCCTCCTGTAGAGGGGCAGGCCCGACTTAGTCCCAGTCTGACGTGCAGAGTGCTGTTTCGCCTTGATGAGGCGAGGTCTTTCTGCCAGAGGAGGTCGGCGCAAACGCTGCACACATGTGTACCTCAAGCGTTTCTGCCCCCCTCCCTCGACCTCTTTGTCAGGTTGCGCCACCCCTCCCTCGCCGATGTGAACCGATACCTCCGAAAACTTGCGCGCTGCGCTCCAGGTCCCGATAGGCCCCCCTGCCAGTCCTTCCAGGAGTCCCGGCGCTCTGCTCAGATTCTACGCAACGTGACGCGGTCGGTGGATCCTGAACGGCCCGGTCATGCCCGCAGGCTGCATCGACCTCTTCGGCGTCTTCACTCCAGAGGGCCCCCCGAGACGAGGATGTCCCCCATGGCTGCGTCAGGGCCCCAGCAAGCCTCCGCGCCCTTGGCCCCGAAAGCTGTGACAACAAAATCGCGACGGACATCGTCGGTCGCAAGCTCCCGAAAAAACGACCAGACGTCACCAGCCATATCCAGCGGGCTTCGTGCCCACTCGAAACTTTGTCGACGTCTTCGAAATTGACGCCTTGTCTCGGAGGTTCTTCATGCAGGCCCACGCCCCCGCAGCCATGCCCACCCTGCCCACCTCTGATGTCCAGCAGGCGTTCCAAAGTGTAGCACATGAGTGAGTTCGCTTGGTTCTTCACCGCAGTGGATTGCCCGCCGCTCTGTGCTGGTCCTCCGCGAGCTCCTCGGGTCTGCACTGTGCCTCAGCGCGTCTGGCGCCGCCCCATCGCTTCCCTACAACGTGCAGAATGACATCATCCAGGGCGGCCCTGGCTCAGGTTTCCTGTTCTCGCTCGGCGCCGGCTCTTTTTGCGCAGGACTTCGATGCCAGCGTCGACGGGCGTGGACTAGGACCGGCGCGAGCATGTGCTGATGACGCGGGCGCATCGAATTTTTGCCGAGTGCTAGTCTCCGCAGGGTTATCAAAGTTGCCGAGCGCGTCTCGGCCCTCTCCCTCAAGGCGTCCAGGTGCAAGGTAGCTTGTTCTCGATGAAGAATTTGGCTCCACAGTTGCACAGAAGTATCGGCAGTGGCTTTCGACTAACATTCCTGACCGGTCCCCTCTCGACGTCGTTCCCATGCTGCTCTACCTGGGCATGTTCTTCGGGCCCTCAGTCTCCCTTGAGAG